ATTGTGAGATACTTTGCCTCAACATCTTGCAGTCGGGCTCCTGGTAGACTTTTACTGCCTACTGCCATTATTACCTAGGTTAAAAGGCTTCTTTATTGCTTTCATCTGTGACGCCTATAATCTTCTGATATTTTTGCTCTCTCAGCAATAGATCGAATCCAGACTCTGAGCATTTTGAACCTTTTCGGTGCCGTGTCTGAGGCTTCCTACACCACGCTCATTGGCACTTAGCGAACTGCGTCTTTCAATACGAATCAATGTCGAAAGCCAAAATTATTATCTTCGCTCATAGAATGTTCTTTTACTTACACCTAAACGAAGCCCACCTGACCTTCCCTGATCGGTGAGGGAGCCACACGAGGATCGGTATGTCGGACTTGTTAGACATTAAGCGTGAGATGTGTGCTATGGTGAAGTGCTTGGTCCATCTGTAGATCATAAAGGTAATTTTTTTTTAGTCCGCAGCAATCTCACCAAACTCTCTTTGTTGAATAATAAGCTTAGTATTGGAGGGAACAGAACGCTCGGTGTTTGCGATGAAGCGGTTCTTATTAGCAGCCAAGAAAAAAGCTAGAGGTGGCCTCATTCAATGTGGATGGCCACATATGTAGCCCCATGGTTGCCAAAACGAAGGTTGCGAGCTGGCAATAGATGTTGCAGAGAATTCGCTCTCTCAAAAATCTTCAGATCCTTCTCATCTCTGTTCGACATCGTCCATATTTCTGCGCCATATTAAAGGACGAGCCGTATGAGATATTTAAGGAGCGCAATTTTTGTTCTTTGCTAAAGAGCTATACTTTTCAATTGCCGTTTGAGCCCATAGTAGCACCTGTTGGCAAGAGTTTTTCCTCATATGATCCCCAGACTAGCATCATAGTTGATGTTAATGCCGGATCCTGCTTCCAGCATCCACACATAAGAAGACACAAGAGGGTGAGCCTATGTTTAGGTAGTCTCAAACGGCTCGGGGAGGTCATTCCCCAATTCGGACAGAGCTATAAGTTATGCACAGAGATTTTAAAATTAGATATGGCGAAAACTCGTTGGTGTAGCTTCGAAAGTTTCTTTTTGATTGTTGATGCTTCCGATGAAAAGGGCAGAAGGCCGAAACCGATTTGTCTCCAAACCAAAATTGTCAACGGTTGACGGAAATTCGTTCCAAAATACATCATAGTACTTCGAAAGTCCCACTTTTTTTCAAAAATAAAAACGAGTAGCGATTTTAATTAAAGGGAATGCGACAAAGCGAAACAAAACTACAACATTTAATTGGGTAATAAAGTTGTGCAAATAAATACGATAAAAGTCAGCCGGCATCGCTAAAATAAAGCAACACCAAAGGCCATGTATGGTTGAGCATGATTAAGCGCCCAGTAGTACATATGTATGCGGCTTAGGTTTTTTTCTCCAAAATTCGGGCAAAAGTCATTAAGTATGACAACACCAGAATGTGTTAAAATCTTCAAAGCAACAAAGTGAAAAAATAAACCCTTTTAACGTTTTAAAGAAGTACAAATTCATATGTATAAACTACACACATATGTATATGTGCATTAGAGTGCCTCACCAAAAAAAAAAAGTTGCTGTTTTACCATCGGAATTATAAAATTTAAAGACTTCCGCCAAATATTTGGGATAAATATTAAGATTTACGTGAGCTGGACAGATTTTAAAATACCTATAATTTTTTTTTACAAATGAAAATGGTTTTTAATTTTGTAAATTTTTTTACCAAAAATCACCTAAAAATTTTTAAAAATCTTATCAATAGAATCAAAATAATGAGAGTATTTTCGAATCGGTCCAGTTCACGTAAATCTAAATACTTTCCGAAATATTTTCGCGGAAGTCTTTGAATATAACACATTTAATAATTTCGGTGGAAAACCCGCAACCTTTTGTGGTGAGGCACAAGTATAATAAAATATGTACGCTATGATATTTACGCTTCCAACTAAAATGCTGCAGCAACCCCTAATTTGTAGGCAACAACCAGAAAAAAGCAATGAAAACAATTTAAAAATAAACTTAAAAGTAAAATCCAGCCAACATCACAGGCAGCACAGCTCAAAAAAAAAATATCCCGTGTCAGTATAGAGATAAATTACCGCTCCTTTAACCGCTCCCTTACCATATTATTTTAAATTTTGGTTTGTTTCTTGTATTTTTTTCATACGTGCTCAATAAATACGTAACCTGTTATTTTGATTTTTCGCTTCTGATGCTCTTTCGCATTTTTATATTTTTTTGTTTTTTGGTTACGTGTTTTTTCCATTACCTTTTTATAGTTCACTTGTTTTTATTTTACTTTTTCCCATTTTTATGTCATTTACGTGCCTTTCGACGATTTCTTCCCTGCTATGCCGCTGCAAGGCTTCTTGCGGCGAATCCTTTTCTTCTTGCCTGGCACGTTAATAAATTTCGCAAAATTTCAAAACAGGTCTGATATTCTTGAAACGCAAAATAGGGTAAAAAGTGAATTTCAATTTAAAAAAAGACGAATGTTTTCGACATTTGTGTGTGTTGGTACTCTTATAAGAAATTGCACTGATGTTAATGCGGTAGCCAGATTTGCGGTCAAGTTAATATGATGCGCTGCGTACACTGGGAAAAATTTTTTAGAAGTGTTTAATGAGAGTTATCGTCTTTTTTTAGTAGTTGCAACCAGCCTGCCTATAAAATTTTAAAATCACATCAACTATGGATTACATCTATTCATCTAAAACCCCCAGTCGAGTGCAGAAATATTTTTAATGATCTCGCAGCCAAATATAAAACTAGTGTTATATGGGTACCGGGTTAGAGACACATACCAATTAACTTCGAAGCAGATGATTGGCAAGAGTATTCGCATCGCTTACGGCCTTAAAATTCTTCCAGGGTGGTTAGGACATCGCAATGTTAAAAATACCAGTCGCTAACATTGAAAAAGGATAGAACGTGAACTAGTTCGGCTGAAACGCAAACCGGTAGAATTCTAGTTCACAACTAGTAGCTTTCCCTGCAGGGATGCTACTGGGGCGCAGACACTTTTCTGGTAACTGCATGGCCGATGATTTGGCATAGAAAGAAACGGAAATGTTCGTTATAAATTCAGCTCGGGACGTACACACACCCTAAACACCACGTGGACCGTTGATCCCTCCCCTTCTATCATACTACCAGGCCAAACCAGCCAAAATTAATAAAAAGCGATCTGATGCTCTCACACGGCTTGAGCGCTCTTCTCTCATATTGGTAGTCGTAGTACTAAGCGGGCACTACCACATAGGCACGAATGGAAAGAGGTTGGAATATTAAATTATTTATTTATGTCGCAGCTGCACTGACGAGGAATAAGTGCTGACAATCGAACACTATCGCTACCACTGTCCCGCCTTGGCCAAGACGCTAAACCAATCCATCAAAAAGTACTTTATAGATTGCTAAACCGACTTGAATTCAGCGGTGGTTTAATTTCAGAAGGAAGTAAATAAATGGGTTCCGCCAGTGGTATCACAATGGGCTTTTCCAGCCTACTTTTGCCTCTGTGTACTTGCATGGAAGCAGCGACTATAGCCTAACCAACTTGTACAATGTCTGAACACATCTGGCTCAGAGAGTGTTCAAGAGTCCTCAAAGCACTGCCTGCGACTGATTGTGTCAAACGCCTTTAACGAATCAAATGCTACAAAGAAAGTTATTTCACACGTTCTATGGTGCTAAGTTCTGTGATGTTACCTTACATTTTACGAGCCTTGAAACAAGATCTCCGAAATTTTCACTGCTGCGGTAAGAAGAGATATCAGTAAATAAAACTGCCCTGTGTTGGGCATAGGCATGATTTGAGTGACCAGTGACAAATTGAAGAGTTCGACAGAGCTCTTAGAGTGAACCAGAGCTTGGTAACACTAGCAGCGAAATTGCAGCGATTTATTTGTTCCTCCCAATCCGGCAGCATACCAAATTGGGATTCATTAACCAGGTATCGATTTGTTGCAAGTAATCGGTAGCTAAAGCAGCTATTTTAGCTGGGAAGTTGGAGAGGGGTTTAGCGTAAAACTGTTTAGACGCTCGCTTGAAGCTTCAGAATTTCACACTATGATTTTCATAAAAGCTGTAGGAGTGGAAGTAACACTGAAACACTTTAATTGCGAACGTCTGACGCTTTGGAATACCTTTGGGGGAAGGCATGGTAACTCATAGGTTTCGAAAATGTAGAAAATCAAAGGGTTTCGGCTACTCAAGCTGTGGAATGAAAAAGAAAGAGAATTTAGCGAGTGTGCCACCACAAAGAAGCTCATCAAAGAAGTTGGTGTGCCGGTGTTATCTTTAGTCGGTTAATTCGACCTCTTCTAAGATAAACCTAGGATCGGTGAACTAACGAAACAAGTGCCTTATTGTAGTTTGATTTCATTTGTTGCGACAAGGTCAATGTTATTGAAAATAATTGAGTGTTTTGGTCTTCAGAAAGAAAGAGAGAAACGCTTTCATGCAGGAGAGACTCGCACGCTTTTAAATTGCTTCTATAATTTGAAAATACAAATAAAGACAAATTCTATACTTCTTAAGGCCAACGCAGCAACAAAGATCAATTTTCGAACTTACCTAGTCAATAAATGTTAATTTCGTTCAGTGTGCGCCTATCAGTCAGTGCAACGTTTAAAATTCATGCAAGAGCCAAATTAACCCAAAACAAAAGATGAAAATAAAAATAAAGTAAACAACAAAAACCATGAAGAAGCACTTGTGAGTGAAGCCAGCTAAACGGCAACATATGGCAGCGATATTAATTTACAAAACAACAACAATACCAATGACGAGAAGTGGTCTTAGCGACATCAGCATCAATAAAAATAAATGAATAACAACAGCGAAGGAGCGAACTAAAGCACCGAAGAGAGGAGCAAGGACCGTGCATAGCTGTACCGCAGCAGCAGCAGCACAGGATCAAATTAAGAAGGACCGCAACAAAAAGCAACAGCAATTTGATTTAATAGCAGCGAAATAACGTTCCCACGCTACGAACGAGCCAGCGAGCATGAGCTGTCTTGGCAGTGATCAACAGAGGAGTTGACTCATCGCCATCAACAGCGCAGCAGCATCTTCCTATCAGCAGGATAATAATAGCGCCGAGTCACGTGAAATACGTTTGTTGGCAAGTAGGACACGTCTTCAACGGCCAGGAGTGCGTAAAGAAAAAGCATACAAAAAAAATTGGCAAACTAAGAGAACCTTTACCTTTTTTCTTTTATTTATACACAATTTTTTTTTTCTTAACAAAACAAGCAAAGAGTTTCTCACGCTCCTCCGTACGCATGTACATACATACGTGTTATTTTGCAAAGGACCTGCTTGCAGGTAACTTTCAAAACACTAACGATCCCTAATTTTTCTTATTTGCTGATCCTTGTGAGAGCGCTATCATGCACGTGCAACGCACCGACGCTCAGTTGCGCAGAACGGAAAGTATCCCATTGCAGCAGCAGCACAGTGTTGTGTGATGCTTGGGAATTTTTCTTGGCGCGCACCTGCCGCTCAAACAGCGATGCTGATTGGCTGAGATGCTGTTTACGCACCGACGCTCTCATTTCTTACACCTCAACGCAGGCGAAGAATCTATAAGAAGCTGTGTGGGAGCGGTGAGAGATAACATTCTCGTTTGAGCAACGCAAGTGGCAACAACTTTCAAGAAGAAAGGAAAGAAATTGAAGTCATCGCGCAATTGGAAGATCAATAAAATTGGTTCAATAACTCATCAATCAATCAACAACCAAATATGTCTACCGCCATTGCCAACAAGTTAATGCAACAACAGGACTGCAACAATAATTGCAACAAGAATTCAAGCTACTATACCAATCAACACACTTCACTCCTTCAGCAACACTGGTCCAATGTGCAGCAGAAATCCAAAGTTTCACCCTCGCGCCGCCTGAAGAATCTGCTGAAACCTCTACTGGGTGGTGTCTTCAAATCACGCACGAAACGCCAACAAAACCGCAATTCATATATTGCCGCCTCACCGAATGGCGAACGCGATGCAGATTTTGAATGGCTCGCCAACGAGATGGACAATCGCGCCAACGAAGACCTCGAGCAGCGGCTAGTCGAAGAATTGGAGATGTGTGAGGATGGCGCAGCTATTGTGGTCTACAATGAAGATGGTACGCATCGCTTACAAACAGTGCAGAAAGATGAATTCTATGTGCCAGTGCATTTTGCGCGCACCAATGCCGGCACCTTCTTCTGGACCTCGCTGCAGCGTGAGACCATCGAGCCATATAAAATACAATGGAACTTTATGGATCGCTGGGCGCAAGCGTAGAGGCAGCGATGGGGCTGGCAAACATTGAGCGGTGGCACTGAAATTGTAGGGACTCATTTGTGTTAGGCGAAAAGTGGAAATTTTCAATGGAATACTGCTGGCTGCTAGGCGCATGCGCGCGCATGTATGAACGTGATGAAGCAAGGTTTGGTCACTGCGACCTTGCGCAACGTACGCGTCGGTGGGATACTCGTAACTCGGAGAAATTCAAAGACAAGAAAACGCATTGGAAAAAATTTGGAAACTCAAATTCAAAAAGGCTGTAAGATGCTACTAAGGAATGTGACTATTTTTCGTATGAAAAAAAGTTTACTATTTCTGGTATGCATCATTTTGTTTGATGAAATTTAAAAATACGCAATTTTGTAATTTTTTATTATGAAAAAAAATTTATTAAAAATTGTTATTTGTAAGAGCTACTGATTGTACAAAAATGTGGGATGTTAACTCTGAATGCAAAGAAAAGTTTAGGTATTTTTATGGCATACGAAAATCAAAAAAAAAAATTTAAATAAAAACAAAAATATATTTAAAAATAAAAATTTCTAAAAGAAAAAGTTTTTTTTTAATGAATTTTAAATAAAAACTAAATGGAAAAATCACAAATTTTCTTTTTTTTTTAACAAATACTTCGTGAAATTTTTTTTAGTTAGCGGAAAGCGCTTTTCAAATACGGCTCGGTACTTACTAGATATGTTTCTTCTTTTCATTGTTTCTGTACAGAAATTCAAAAAAAAAACACTAGTTTCAACTGAAAACTTTCATAGAAATATTGATAGTTTATAGTGTTTTCGTTTTCGTTTTTTCCAAAAAATTTTGCCCTTAGAAAAAGCAAAATTTTGAAAATATGTTTGTTGTTAATCTCAACAAACTAACAAAAACTTACAGTATGGTAATCAAAGCAGGGTTAAGGAATATTCCCATGAAAAAATTTAACTCTAAAGGAAAATAAGGTTTAGTTTTTGAAAAAAGTACACATATGTATATGTATTTAAATTTTCTTACACAAATTTTTAATTCACATAATTTAAAATATTTGTTTACAATTGTTAAGGAAAAAATGTAATTTTGTTTATAATAACTTAAAATTTTTGTATGAAAATAGTTTCCGTGAAAAAGTGCATTTTTTGGTGAAAATCCCATTTCTTTTTCGTCAAAAGAGTAACTTATCTTTCAATTTTTAACAAACTTTAGATTTAAAAAGGTTTCAATTAAAAACAAAAAAATTCTTTAAAAAGTCTAGTTTGTGAAGAAAAATATGTGTTTTTCTCATACAAATTTTTAAATTACATAATTTAAAATTTTTGTATACGATTTTTTTTTTTTTTGAAGAATGAATTTTTGCATGAAAATATGTTCCGTTAAAAGGGTCTTGTTTTGGTAAAAAAAAAACATTTTTTGTCAAAAACGTGGCACTTCTTTTATTTTTTAACAAAATATATATAAAAAAAAGTTTTAAAAGAATTAGTTTTTTGAAGAAACATGTGTACTTAAACTATCTTTGAACTACATGATTTCAAATATTTGTTTAAGATTTTTTTCTTTGAGGAATTTCATTTTGTTTCTGATAATTTTCGATTTTTGTACAAATATACCTACATAAATTCCGTGAAAATTTTACTTATATTCGCAAACAAAACAGTTTTTTTTTTGTCAAAAAATTTAATTTTTGGAGTATCTAATTGAACAAGGAACTTAAAAATAACTTAGAAGGCTTTAGCCCAGTAAAATTAGACTTTTAACGAAAAACTGGGCTATACGCTATGTTTGCCACATTCCCATCCGTGATCTAAGCGTCGTACAAAAAAATGTAGGTATACAAGTTGTGAAGAATGAAATTCTCTAGAACTTTGGAATTTCAATATGCAATATATTTTCACCAGAAATTGTCCAAAAAAAAGCGAAAAAGAACTTACCGACTATTTTTAATGGAAATAATGGGACGGGAATTTTAAATGTCCATTTTTGTCATTAGTTAAAATCTGTGCCATTTAATGACTATCTAGTAAATCCAGCATAAAGTTAGAAGACCCAAAATGTATGGACAACAAAAAGGCTGGAGGCCTTCAAAATCGGCAAGGAATGTGGATTTTTTTAGTCAAAAGACGATTTCGATAAAGTTTGCCATACTTGTTTTTTTTTTGTTTTTTTGTTGTCATCCTACAGATCTGAGTTTCCTTTTGTTTGCACTCAAAGGTTAAGAGATCATAAGTGTCTTTATAATATATATAACAAACAACAAATTTAATAAATATTTGAAATTTATATCTAAACTTGTTTATACAGGAATTGAAAATAATTAGAAAACAAAAAATGAACAAAATTTAGCTTCAGCTGTTGCTATTGAATGCATGTTGGAATGTGTATATGCATGTAAGTATGTATGTATGTTATTTGCAAGGACTTTTTGTGGAATGCCTTTGCAAATATAGTGAGTTGAATAAGACTCAAAGAGCAACCTAAAATAAGAGTCCGAATGTAGCAATTTATGAGGCCGATAAGGGTCTCAAAAAGAGTCATATATGAGGCCAAAACTTGTTTTAAAAGAGTCCAAAATGAGCCGTATATGAGGCCAATAAGAGTCCAATATGACTCATATTGAGGCTCATTTGATGTATGAATTTAAGCTCATATAAGTCGACATTCGTAGGAAGGGAAACACACTCATATCGGACTCTTAAATGAGCTCATTATGAGCGTAATAGCTCCGAAATAGGACTCCTTAAAGACTCATTTATGACTCCAAATGTTTGCTGGGTACATACTAGAATAAAATTGTCTTAAATTAAGAAATGTGTGGTTTGACGAAAAGTTGAATATTGTGTACCTGCGCTTCGAACCACCCCACCATCCGAACTTTCGTACTTTTCTTCAGTGAACAACAATACTAAGTAAAAAATTTACATTAGCTGTATGACATCATTGTTTTCAAAACTTTGCGCGCGTGTGGTGCAAAAATTCCTTTTACCTTCTTAACCTTTGAGTGTAAGCAAGACAAAACTCTGACTTGGACTAGGAGTTTATTCAGCTGTTTTCGCTGTCAGCTCAATGTTTTCTTTCAAAAATATACCATGCTATGCTGTTGCAAAAAAGTTTAAACTTATTGAACTGTGTAATTAAAAACTCAATTTTCAGTTTAATTGTATTTCATTGAGTTCATTTATGGCTCAACTATGAATTAAAAAGAATTGAATATTTATGATAATTTCCAGGAATTTCAAAACTCCTACTCATCGTGTTTTTTTATTCCCGTCTCGAATGGTTTTCGTTATGGAAAATCATAACTTTTTTATGACTTCATTGGCAGCAGCGCTTTCTTTAAAGCGACTATTAATATGTACACCCATATGCGCAAATTTTGCAGCATGTGCACTAGGGTGGTCCAAAAAAAAGTAAAGTCGGAATTTTAATACTCTCACCCCCTAGGATCGTTCTCTATCAAAAAAATATACCCCTTTTTTTATTTTGGAATTAAAAAAATATTAGAGGTCGCTCAAAGCGCTCAAAGTTTTCCATGTATTTTATATACATTTTTTTGTTTGGTCTCCCTTGCATTTTTCGGGGTTTTCGGTGGATCTCTAAAATAAAACATAGGGGTAAATTTTTTCGGTATAGAACAATCCTAGAGGTGGGGGCATAAAAATGCCGACTTTATTTCTTCTCACGTATTTTCGTACCACCCTAATGTACACACATGTTTGCAGATAATTGTATACATATTTGCATACTTACTTGAGTATTTACTCCAATATACATATACATATGTACATATGTATGTACGATGCATACTTGCCAGCTAAGCTGCACGGGTATGCGATATCAAATTTCACAAAACTAAGCAAAAAAATAATAATTAAAGAATAGCCTTAAAAAAGGATGAAACGTGAAAACGTATTAAAAATTGCAAGATATTTATAGTAATAGTTTTATAACTTAATTGATAGTAATAGTTTTATAACTTAATTGATGCACTATTTTCGCAAAACAATAAACTTTTGAGTGCCTAAAACTGATGAGGTTGGCTCAAAAAACATTTACATTTTGGAAACTATCCCATTTCCCATATACTTTCAAAGCGCAAAATATATTTTGCTGAATAGACTCAACCATCGTTTTTTTTTCATAGCTCAAAATGCGGGTCTACTCGTCGCTAATCAAGTGGCAAAGATACAGAAGATACAGAAAGAAGTTTCCGTCTTCTTTTTCAGGCGCACTGCGTGCTTTAGCTTGCGTCTTTTGATTCCACAACAGGACTAACTGGCACACTCGAAGATTCCACTCCTATCCTTCGAAAATCTGGAAAATTCGTAATCGGCTGAAACATTCTTCAGAATGACAGAGTGTTCTGACTTCAAAAACTCCAATTTCATCGAAAAGCAAAATTCTAATCTTGAATCCCCGCTTAGACTGTTAGAGTATAATGCTAGTCAATGGTCGACTCGCAAATTCGCTCATTTCGTCCTATAATCAAAAGCATCTCATTATTATCTTATAGTTGTTCGTTCTCAAGCTTGTTAGTTCGCTTTATCCATAACGTTTCTCTTCATGGAGGAAATCAATTGGTGCTACGGCTGCTTCGCCAACAGTATTGCACTCCTAAGGCAAATAATCTCAAAAAGGCTGTCATTCATAACTGCTAAGCTTGCGACATTCATAAAAAGCTGGATCAATCCCAAATCATGGCTGCCCTTCCTGAAGAGAAAGTGACCCTTTCCAGGCCTTTTCAAAGTACTGGAGTCGATTTTTCCGACCCATTTGATGTTTAGAGTTTTACTGGCAGAGCGTTTAAAATCAGCAAAGGTGTCATAGAACGACGCTTCTCACATGCATCAGACGTACCGCCGCTTCTAAAAAATTCACCTTTGAAAAATTTCAAACCGTACTTTTTCCCATTGAATCCTGTCTAAATTCTAGGCCAATATCGCCCAATTCTAACGCTGCATATTGTAAGGCCCTCACACCTGGTCACTTTCTAACTGGTGGCCCAATACTTTCGCCCCAAGAAATAAAGGCCCTTAGCTACCAACACTCACTTCAATGGAAAGACGAATATCTAAAAGAACTACATCCATAAACGCTTACAAATGAAAATCATTTCAAACGGATATTGCAGTCGTTGGATGACCTAGTTGTAGGTCACCGTTAAAAGCCTTCCTCCTAACGAGTGGCGCTTGGGCAGGGTCCCAAAGATTTATAAAAGTACTGATAAAAGAATTCGTGTTGCAGACATCCGCACAAAAAAGGGATTGATAACGCGC